ACAGGCTAGCGGAGTGTTCAGTAACAGGCTAGCGCGGAGTAAGAGAGAGAGTTCGGAGCAAGAGTGCGTTGTGTAAAGAGTGATGAGCATCCGTGCGGGATGCGAATTAATAAAGTGACATAGAAGAAAAGCTGACAGTGTCTGTGTGAATCAAGGCCGTAATTATAAAAATAAATATGCTCACAATGTCCCCCCCAATATATTGCTATAAAAACAGATTTCTGTTTATATGATTGTGGTTATGGTTGTACTTTATTAATTCCTAATCTTTGCCATGACATACAATGAAACAAGAAAAAGTAAAAAATAAAAACCAGAGCAATGTAATACAATAACACTATTAGACATTGTTGTAAAAAATAAATAAAAAGTCCGTCCTATGTGTTAGTGAATTTTTTTATCTTTTAGGCAGGAAATTAGTTTTCAAATTCAGATTTTTTTTTCTGGGGAGGGGGGGACCCAGACCCCCTGGAAGATTTGTTCCCCCGCAATGTTGACTCCATGGCTACGGCCTTGGTGTGAATACACCACTACACATGTGTCTGAAGCACCCTGTGTACAGCATATAAGTACGCTATGTACAGAATTAGTGACCACCTTAACAAGTGTAACTTGGCATTTCGTTCTGGATGCCTTGAATTTGTGCCACAAATAAACGACGCCGAGCAACAAAGGTGGCGGTGTGTAGAGTGGACGGGTCAATCCAAGCACCGGCCTCTGCGAGGACGTGAACCAACACGCCACATTACCCCCCTTAGGGTTTTAGAACAAGGCCACGAAGCTCATCGTTCATTGTCAGATGTACATTTTTTTTGCGCGAGAATATATAAACAAGGCCAGCCAACCACCCCCCCCCCCTCACCCTCCTCTCGACCGTCCCACCTCGGCCACCCAGTTCATCGCGCGCGAGTTGGACTCCTGGCATCCACATTGTTCCTGAACCCGAAGACGTATTTTTGTTTTTGCGACAGCGTTGAAGCTCTCATCCGTACCCTGGTGCCTCTTGAACTCTCATTGCGAGGCGCAGCACAGTCACAGTAAGTCAGCTGGGCACTCGTGTTTCGAGAAGTGTGGCATTTACCATATTGGAAAGTTATTCTAATTCACCACTCTTGTTTACTGTTTACTTTAGAATGGCTGATCGTTTCAATTTCTATTCAGGCATTATAAATTTCATTACTTTCCTCCTCTTCTTCGAGAGATGGAGTGCATATGAGTGCGTGCACATTTTAAACCAAAGTCAAACAGCTATAATTACTATATTTTTAATACGAGCTTAATTTGGGTGAGGTCTCATTAATATTGCATCATCTCTCTACTTTCACGGCACACATTTAAACTGACATAAATACGCATAAATAGAGGGACAAAATATGACGATCACCCAAAAAACTACATTTTATGACACATATATACACATGCTCAGATACAAATACACAGGAAAACAAAAAACCACACACGGATGAACAAGCACACCAAGACATACATACACACACACATAGATGCACAACAAAATAACAGCATGGGAAAAAAGGTTTGCACGGAGAGAGAAATATCGAAGATGCACAGAGATATGAAGAAAGAGAGATATTGGGAGACGGACGCAGCAGACAAATACGCAGAGATACGGCGAGAGAACCACGATGAGACCAGATTATTTTATTTATTTTACCAGGCAAGGCCCACTGAACTATACAGCTCTTGATTTAAAGCTTTGTAAGCCATCTGGCTACCATGAGAGTTTCGTTCATGAGGCTATCCACATATACAAGCACAGAGACAATTTCAACCGAGAAGATGGATTCTGGCTTAGCAATCATTGGAAAGATTTGATTAACCATTTCAGGTCTTAATTGATTGTTCACGCTTACAGTGGCTTTCAGACAGCATACATTAATTTTTCGTCTCCCCCCTCCTCTTTTCAGAACATAGATGGACTAGTCCTTCTACATAAACTGCCAAATCGCTGCGCGTGGCGCTGACGTTTTTATAAGTAAATAAATACACCGTTTAAAAATAAATAAATTAATGCAAACCGACACACCTGATGACGACCGTTTGTGTTATGGTCGAAACGTCGTGAGAATTTTTATTGTTTTATATATATATTTTATTCTTTTATTGTTTCCCTTCAACGTGACTTTACCGAAAGAGCTAAGAATATACAGCTCTTTTTCAGAAGCGAGCTGGCCACAAATGGATGCTCAACGCAGTGGTTTATCATCACGTGGAAATGTATAGCAGCCGCGTACTTTAAAGGCGTGACGATTCTAAATGTGGAGGGGGGGGGGGGTGAAACCTTAGGACCCGGAGAAAAACCCACGCGACAATTGGGGAGAGGGACATGCAAGCTCACGCATACCAGCCGAGGTCGTGAACATCTCGCCACCTCGGCGCTTGCTCACGGTATCTCCAGAGAGATACAGGGACGCGGAAAGAAACAGGGAGATGAATGGAGATAAACGCTGCATCCTTATGACAGAGGCCCACTGGAACTGTGCGCTTTGAAATCTAAATTGTAAATTAATTTATTGAGGATCGCTTTTTGTGTGTAGTCTCTTGGCTCTCCGCACCTCCGATTAGCACGGTTGACTAAGTACGGTACGAAAGAAGTTCGACACACGTACATGCAGACATACACTCACACAGGCCTCGATTCGTGTTGATTTTGTGACTATTCCACATTTTTTTGACGGAACGTCGGAAATTTGGAGAGGAATATCAGCCTTGATTTATTTTTTGTTACAAGTACATAAACGGGGCCATCCTGCCCTCCGGCACCTATTTGGGCACTAGCTGAGCGGCTGACAGTGGAAGAGGGTTCGGGTCGAGCCGAGCGGCTGGAAACGAATCGCCAATCATTTGAATTTGGAGCAATCGCTTTTTGAGACGCGTCCACCTTACGTGTGTATGCTGAACTTGCTTCGCACCCGTGCGCCGTGGCCGACCGTGCCTAATCGGAAGGTGGAACAAAGTGTTGCTCCACGACTTGGGCTCGAACAGATCGGGCCGTGGAGACATAGGAGAGAGAAAGAAACAGAAGACACGCCGAGAGAGGCAGTCAGGGCAGGGGACGGCCAGAGAAGGAAAGACTGAAAGGAACATGAAACGTGGCAGGTTAGAGAAGGGCACGGTGAGAAATATGGTCACTTTAAACTGTTGAAACATTTTGTGTTCGTATGTAAGATAAGAATAGGTGTTGCCCTTTCTGGCAATAAAATAGGTAGCAAGGTCTCTATTTGGATACATTTTTGCACGCTTTGATACTGGAACAAAGGTGCCATAGATATTTTGTGTCGGGTTTGTTTTACCTAAGTACCCAAACGTCTGATGTGGGTCAGTGCCTCTGCCTGGATCTGTGCAAATGGACTTCACTTAGTTATCTTTCAAATACAGTCGTAAGATTCATCCTCAGGAAGGTCCTGCATTGGATCTTTATTTGTAATATGTTTTCAGCGCAATTAATGATGAGTCGTGTTTGTTATTACGCAAGTGGGAGGAAACATGAGCTGACGAGAGAGCGCGCGATCACGGCGGCGGCGGCGACTGCTGAGCTGATGCTGCTTCCACAACACTGCGATCCTTGCGGCAGCGTGCGAGGATCGTAGGGTATTTCAGGGCCCACCCCAACTCCCCCCCACAGGACTCCACCCGGGGCTAAGCCCCTGGACAGCTCCGGCCGAGATGGTCGCCTGAGGCGTGCGCGCTCCCAGCAGCGGCCGGCGGGGGCCGTTTGTGAGGGGGCCAAGGGAGCCGACGGAGGGGGCCGACAGAGCCGGGGGGGCCGGGGGCGACGGAGCCAGGGGGGGCTGACGGAGCCGGGGTGGGGGGCCGACGAAGCCAGGGGGGGCCGACGGAGCTGGAGGGGGGCCGACGGAGCCAGGGGGGGGCGACGGAGCCGGGGGGGGGGGGGGGGCGACGGCGCGAGCAGAGGGAGCCGACACTGACTTTCTTACACATCATGCACTGACTCACTCACACATCATACACTGACTCACTCACACATCATACACTCACTCACACATCATACACTGACTCGCACATCATACGCTGACTCACACATCATACTCTCACTCATGCTGCTGCTGACTCACTCACACATCATACACTGGGAGTGTCGTGCTGCCAGCTATGGCTGCAGTTTTTTGTCGTTCGTGTTATGTATATCGTTTATTGTTAAATTTAAAATCACAGTTCCTATGATTACTGTTGTTACATTGTTTTTATAGCTTTATTTTGGTGATTCTAAAACATATGGTTAATTTAAATTGTCTTATGGTTGTTGTTGTTGGCTTGCACCACATTGATTTTTGCTCACAGCGTTTTAATAAAGTTTTTTTTGTGCGTGGAATATTTGCTGGTTTATTCCGGGATGTTTCTGTTACGCGTCGTCGCTTTAAGACGTTCTGTGTTCAAAATTGTGTTTGTTGCGGTTGCACCCGACTTGAGAGCCGCATGGCTCACAGGGCTACACCTAATAAATTAAACTTTAAGCTTGATATGCAGAACCTACCCATGCCCAGTGCGAGGAGGTACAACACTATATCCCCTTATAAATGGAAACAGATGGCAACTAGTCCACTTGGTGTACTGCCTTCTCCCGGCGAGACATGGGACCTCCTCGACGCGCGCGGGAAGGGAGTTTCACAACATTCGTGCGGTCATCCACGTGGATATCCACCTAGCGTAAAATGACAAACTTAAAAAAAACAATCCCAGGCAAATTTGGTGTTGTCCAACTTGAACCTATCTTTTAATTTAACGGACAGTGACATCCCAAGCAGGACAACGAAAACGTCGAGAAAGCCCGATGAAGGGTTATCTGTGGAATTAATTTCGCGTATAAAGTGTGCGCTGTTTGGCAATTTGCTATGTTGGCTGTTTCTCCAACACAATGTGAAGCCGTGTGCTGTGCGATGACCATTTCACTGACAGCACGTGGCGCAGCTGAATCAATGCCGTCCGTAATTCGATTTTTCTTTCGTTGAACCTCAGGAGCAATGTTGGCCGCGTGCAACACCGCGGCCGTAAGGCCACACGCCAAGAGCTTCGACAGCCGCGGCGCGGTGGAGCAGCCAGCTACGGTGGATTACAACGCAGAAGGAAGATTGGCTGAGGGAGGACTGGAGGAGCCATCCGGACGGGCGCTGCCTACGAGGGAGACCTGGCGCCACAAGATGGACTTCTTGATGTCCGGGGTGGCCTTCGGCGTGGGTCTTGGTAACGTCTGGCGCTTCCCTTACCTGTGCTACAAGAACGGCGGCGGTGAGCTTGTGGCCTGTTGTACGTGTGGATGTGGGCGTCTGTGAAAAGAAAGAGCTTTGTGGCTCATCGGATTCCTCCTGTATGAATACATATTCTGACTCTGATTGTGTATGTATGTTCAACTTGAGCGGGAGTGTAGTAACGTATGGATGGTATGGAACCAGTCAGTTTCAAAGACGATGCTGATATTATCGGAGGATGTTTTTTTTTGTTTGCATGTCCACCACAAGTACGTGCGGTTAATGCAGACAGGATTCCTTGAATAAGGATTCTGTTTGGTGTTTTAACATCTTGACACAACTGTTGTATTGCCAGAAAGGGTAAAAACCTATTGCTATATTTTAATACTGGCAAGCGTAGTAACTAACGGTTAACGCGCTGCGCTGCAAACCCGGCGACCCCAGTTCGATTCCCGATCACGGACAGCACCAGTGACGAATATTTCAACCGGTCCTGGGCCTCCCCTAGGTCGACTCAGCATCGAATGAGAACCCTGGTGTGGTGTGTAAAACATCGCCGTGAGGGAGACAAAGGCGGTCGGGCGTGGTGTTGGCCACCCACCCCCTCTTACCGCAACAGTCTGTTAAGGCTACACGGGGGATCTTTGTTAAACTATTCTCGCGCCGTACGTAGCCAACCGTGCTAATAACTGGCTCCCGTTGATTTAATTTACAATTTACAGTCTGCCTCAGCAGCAGACTATGCTTTCCCACCTGGATGATGGACGCTTGTGTTGCGCCAGAAACGTCGTGATTTATTTTGTTTTATTTTATACCGAAAGAACCAAAGAGTATGGACTCCTGTTGACTCTCAGGAGCCAGTGGGAATCTACGACATTTTCGCACCGTATTCATCGCCAGTGTTTTAATGCTCATTGTGCAATGCAATTCTTTGTTTCCACATTGTTGTGACACAAAGTCGTAACCTTTGACGCTCCACTCACAAGTTTATTTTGCGCGTTCGGTTTTTGTTGCAAATCACCCTGCGTCCTCGGAGCAAAAGGTGCTGGAGAATAAATGATGATGCAAATTCTCAAGTTTATCATCCATCAGCAAAAAGTCTTCAGGGGGAAATTTACAATCGATCGAGCGCCTGCATCCTCCATTCGATATCTGTAGTCGACTCCACGGATGTCGAGTGCGCAGACGGTAAAAGTGGCGAGAAGTTCACAACCTCGCCTGGGCACTAATTGCTTACAGAGGCGAGCGTCATTCCTCGTAAATAAGTAATATTTATTTTTTAAACACGCTTTAATGAAATGTACCGTACTAGTAATGTAAGAACTCCACGACTCCAGGAAGTGGCCCCGAAGCTTGCCACAGCATAAGGGGACCGTGGGCAATTACAGCCAACGTCAGTTGAGCGTGGACAATTAGACCCAAGCCGAAACATAACATATAAAAAAAGATTGTTTAATTTTTTGTTTTAATGATAGAATATAGTATTGTCATCAGTATGACATAAGTATACCAGGTTTGCAGTCGATACCACATTGGGAAGTGGGTTAACATTGAGTTACAAGATTTGAGGATGCAACAACAACGACAGAGTGAGTTAAATAACAGGTCCCTGCAGGGTGGGCTGGTAGGAACATTGGCAAAGTAACGTCACGGTGCCTTCGAACTTCGCCTCGCAAATGCTATTCGGCTGTGGACTGTATGTGAATTTGCCACATCCCCAAAAGCGAAGTTCGCAAATGAGATAATGTGACTTCCAAATGTTGGGTTCAATAAGACATATCAAGTCTCTGCGCTGTCTATTGCTGATTTTACACCCAACAGCACGAGATTTCACTTCGTTAAAGTATTGAAAGGGGAGGGACGGACGGACGGACACATTAATCTATTGCAGGCTGGTACACTCAGTTTACAACTTCGTTCCTACCAGTAAAAGCGTGTAATAAAATTAAAACGCACGCGTCTCCCCGTGCTTCCTAAGTCTTTGCGCGTCTCTGCCAGGAGCCTTCCTCGTCCCGTATGGCCTGACCATGATCTGCACCGGCATCCCCCTCTTCTTCCTGGAGGTGGCGATGGGGCAGCTCACTCAACAGGGTGGCATTGGAGCGTGGAAGATCGTGCCACTTTTCACTGGTACGGCGTTTTCAATGGTAGCGTATCCAGGCGGGGGGGGGCATCATACGGCCCCCGCCAGATGGGTATCGTGGAGAAAACTGATGTCCGCTGTCAAAAAAATAAAGAAACGCTGTGAACCACTCAATCCAAGGGTTTCAAAGAGCTGGAGTGCACGGTTTGGTGTCTTTGACTGTAGGTTGGAAATGCACAAACAAAAACGTAGTCGTGCACGATGATAACCAAATATGTAGAGATTAGTTCGGCGAGATTGCAGGCTCATATTAGAGGATGACCTGGATTGTTGGCTTTGCATTAACTTTTGTAATAGATGGTTGCTGTCCAATGGGTTTGAATTATGAGGTTTGTTGATTGTACGGTGTATTTGACTGCTCGTTGGTGGCTTGCTATGAAGTCATGACCAACTTCACGGTAAAACGAGGTCACCATCGAGTCTTTTCTGCCTTCACGGATCTGTGCCAGACAGCCACTGCAACCTTGTTTACTGACTGTCTTTTATAACGATGGCATCTTGGTGAATGTAGGCCCATGTCTGTTTTCGGCGATGCAATGATTGCGATTTGCCGAACAGTGATTGATTTGCTGAAGGCAAAGATAAATAAACGAATCGTGAAATGTGAACTGTCCCTCCAGTGGAGGCCAATGTGAATATTCATAATTAAAACGAGGGAATGATTCGGATGCTCGAGTCAATGTAATACCCTAGACCAGCGGTCCCCAACTTTTTTGGCACCAGGGACCAGTTTCGTGGAAGACATTTTTTTCACGGACGGGGGGGGTCATCATTGGGTCTTTCCCCATTTTCAAAGAAGCTCTCCAGCGACGTTTTTTTAAATACAAATTTTGGCTACTAGGGGGTTAGAGCTTGTGGGCTTACCAACACTGTAACTGAGACAAGTGCGCAGTGCGGGAAAGAGGCGCGGACGAAAGTGGTAAATAATAAAATAATGGGGGCGGACCACGCGCGGACTCACCGATCTCACCTCCTGCTGTGCAGCCCGGTTCCTAACAGGCCACGGACCAGGGGTTGGTGACCCCTGCCCTAGACCACTAGATAATACTTAATGTTCTGCCTCTGACAACTGCAGGTCTTCACGGATGGTGATTACAATATTTAGTTGTGGTTATTAGGCGGCAAGCCAGTGGTGTTTGTGACAGTCTTGAGATTGGCGGCTTTGAGGTCTCTCTTTTTTACTTTTTTGAGTTATATATGTATGTTGAACTTCTTTCACACCGTACGTAGCCAACCGTGCTAATCGGAGGTGTGGAGAATATAGGACTGTGTTCGTGCAGTGAAAACTTTGAAAGCTTATTTTGAAACAATTCTAATACTAAGTAAGATGCTTAGCCCAGGAATGAGTCACCAAGTAGACAATGCATTCTTTCTCCAAGACGATTCCCAAACACAATACGGGTTCCCATGATGTAATGTCAGAAAATGTTGATAATTTTAATACACGTTAGTTCATTCATATTTTGTGTTACTTTTAAATAATGTGTCTGTTTCTAGATCTATTCTAATGGCCCACATGCCAGTTTAAAAACTTATATTTGAGGGACAATTTCAAATGAAATTAATACCCCATGGTGTAATATTGCAGTCTCCATCACCTATTCACTAAAATCTATCTGGCCTATCTCTCTCTGAAGAAGACGGGCTATAGCCCAAAACGTCACCTATTATACATCTTTTTTGTCCTCTTCAGGGCAGAGTTATTAATGCATGTGTTGAATTTGTGTGAATATCTACAGTTTTTAGGTACAGGTGGGCAATCCAATTCTTTAACCCTCTGTGACTGCCCCTGCGCTTTTAGAAACGTGCATTGAGATTATTTAGATAATTTTGGTGCTATAGATGTCCAAATGATGGTGCCACTTTGTTGAGCTATCATTTGTGGGCAAGTCGCTTCTGAAAAAACAGGTCCCTGCAGGGTGGCTGGTAGGAACATTGGAATTTTGCGCAATTTTATTTTTACACCCCAACAGCACGAGATTTCACTTCGTTAAAGTATTGAAAGGGGACGGACGGACGGACACATTAATCTATTGCAGGCTGGTACACTCAGTTTACAACTTCGTTCCTACCAGTATAAGTTAATACCTCAGTGGGCTTTGCCTGGTAGGATGGGGATGGTTTAGTTTTATTTGTGTTTGTGTAACTTGTTTACTTTGCTTGTACTTTACACTACTGTCGTGTTGTTGTATTGTTGTTGTTGTAACTTTCTTACCCGCACCAACTGGACATCTGTGAAAAAATAGCTTTTTCGCTCATCGGATTCCTCCAGTATAAATATTCTGATCTGATCCTGATCTGAGCTGTTTGCCTTAATGTTGGAACCATTCAGGCATCGGCGTGGCGTCGATGGTGATCATCTTCCTCAGCTGCAGTTACTATGCCGTGATCCTGGCCTGGTCCCTCTACTACCTCCTGCACAGCCTGACCACGGCTCAGCTGCCCTGGACCCACTGCCAGGGCTGGTGGGCGACGGCCGCCTGTTCGGAGACCTACTCGTCGTGCCCGACCAACGCCACGGCGAGCAACGTCTCTCTCGCTCGGAGCCAGGGAGCCGGCAATTGGAGCAACGCAGCAGCCTCGGCCTGTCCAGAGAGGAGCTCACCCACGACAGACTTCTGGGAGTAAGTGGAGCATCGCATCGCGCGGCGCTTTCAAACGCGCTGCTGCGGCCGTCTGGAACGCTCTTTCGATATTAGAAAGCCACTGGGGCTATGTACTTTTCAATAATCAGGATTGAATCTTATTTCTTTTAGAACTGCTTTTCGTGTTTAGTTTGTTGTCTTTCCACCGCACCTCTGATTAGCACGGTTGGCTACGTACTGCCCAGCTGAGAATTACATCCACAATGTCTTTTTTGGGTGAGTTTTGATCAAATATCATCATAAAGGCAACGTTAAAATCGCACAGACCGCTATTGGTGAAGGTTTGAAAATACGATTTTATTTGGTTTGTGTGAAAAATCGGAATATGCGAAGCTTACTTGAATGATGCAATCCAATAAATAGCAAAACAAATTACACATTTTGTTTATATTTACACCGACTCTGATGCAAATTCTGCCGGCCGTTATTGGCAGCTTCTTTCTCCACAGTTTTTGTTGTACCCACTGTGAATGTTCATGCAGTAGTAACAAGGGGAAGCTCATGACCTCATCAAAGCGAATGAGAGCTTTAAAAACGACTCTTGAATATTAATACATTCAGGAATAAGAGGATGGTGAATTTTTGTGTGTTTATTTAACACGTAGGCTTTCGCGACCAATGTTATTCATAATAAAGGTTTTTTGGATTAGATCGCGTTATTTATAAATGTGTCGAAACCCTCCACCACCCGACACGGCGAAACAGTAAAAATTGTGTCACGTTTACAAAAGACAAATAGTTCACTACTTTAGCCCACCGGTGTGTTGAAGAGTGATTCAACATGTTGTGTGTCTCTGTGTTGTCTCTCTCTGCTTGTGTGTCTGTCTGTGGGTCTCCGTATCTGTGTTTTGTCTCTCTCTCTCAAATTTAGTTCTACCTGATGACGGCTGCTTGTGTTGCAATCGAAACGTCGTATTCTATTATTTAATTTATTGTCTTTCTACGTGACTTTATCGAAAGAACCAAAGAGTAATTCCTGCAGTCACGAAAGCTTCAAATCAAGTTTGAACTTTCGACTGCTCCAGCATCACACGAGAACTGATTTGAACGCACCACCTCACAATATTTTCTGACCGGGTTGGCGAATCGTGGGAAAATAAACAATTACTCTTTGGGTTATTCTAGATTTGAAGTTTTCGTGACTGCAATCATCCATACTCTTTGGTTCTTAAAATTAAAGTTAATCAAATCACGACGTTTCGGAGGCAACACAAGCGTCCGTCATCAGGTGTAACTAGCACAGCTAAATTACTGTAAAGAGAGCTATTTGTAATAAGAGATTATTATATAGGGTAAGAGGAGGGGGGGGGAGCCAAGGAGGGCGGATGCAGGGTGGGGGAGTCTACTCTTTGGGTCTTTCGGTAAAGTCACGTAGATAGAAACATAATATGAAGAAATCACGACGTTTCGGTCGCAACACAAGCGATTGTCTTCAGGTGTTTACACAGCTGTATCTTTTCACCTGAAGACGATTGCGATAGAAACGTCGTGATTTTTGTCTATTATTATTCTATCTACGTGACTTTACCGAAAGACCCAAAGAGTATGAATTCCTGCAGTCACGAAAATTTTCAGTCAAAATACACAACTGTTGCAAACATTTTTTTTTAATCGCGCGCTGGTGTACCGCCAATTCGCTCGTATGTAAAAAACACTGAGACCAGGGCTAAGAGCAGGAGTGTAGCTGTTCAGTGTGTCGGCGGTGCAATTGCACCCAGGGCCCGCGGGCCAGAGGGGGTCAAGGTTTGTATTAACGTTGAACTTCTTTCGCACGGTACGTAGCCAACCATGCTAGGTGCGGGGGAAGGACAACAAATGTATCAGGCTTCAAAGTCGGCGGCGGGGAGGGGGAAGGCGCGTAGGTGCACTTAGAGCACCATTTTTTAAAAATATTATTTTTTATTCCACATCTATATTGCAACATCCTGACGTTCTGAACGACATTACCAGGGCGATCGACGATATCAGGCACACCGGACTCATCAGAGCAGGCGGAGGGAGGGGGGGGAATGGATTTCTTTGGGAGAGAGGGGGGATGGGGTTGGCCAGGGACTGGGTGGGGAGGGGCTGGGTGGGGAGGGTGGGGTTGGGTGGGGGGTGGGAGGGGTGGGGCTGGGTGGGGAGGGGCTGGTCACCCCGTGGTGCCCTTATAAAACTCAATGTTTAACCTACTCACGCCGGCTTGTGCCCGCCCTCACAGTCGGGCAAATTTGCGGAATACACCACGTGGTGCCGCCGTTGACCCTGGCCATTGACCGAGCAACCCAACGTTCCTACCAGCTCCCTCCGCAGGAGAATGTGTTAACTCACTCTGTCTGTTGTTGTCGTATCTCAAATCTTGTAACTAAATTTTAACCCACTTCCCAATGTGGTATCGACTGCAAACTTGTTATACTTATGTCATACTAATGACAATACTATATTCTATCATAAAAAAGATATTTTTAAACATTTTTTTTTTAAATGTTATGTTTCGGCTTGGGTCTAATTGTCCACAGTAAACTGACGTTGGCTGTAAATCACCATGGTCCCTTACGTTGTGGTAAGCTTCGGGGCCACTTCCTGGAATCGTGGAGTTCTTCCATTACTTGTAGGGTACATTTCATTAAAGCGTGTTTAAAAAATCATTATAATATTACTTATTCTACTTGGAGCACCATTTAATTCCTTGGACCCGAGCCTGTGCCCAACCACGCGACACCACCGGGTCAGGGAGGCGTCGGAGCAACCATTTTGTCGAATGGTGAACACCTGCCCGTGTGAACACGTGCCTCTGTGAACACGTGCAGGCGCAACGTGCTGCGTATGTCGACGGGCATACACGACCTGGGCTCGGTGAACTGGCAGATGTTGCTATGCCTGCTGGCCATCTGGATCGTCGTCTATTTCTGCGTGTGGAAAGGAATCAAGTTCTCTGGCAAGGTACCTGTTCTTACTCGGGGGCTGGAAAATGTAAGAAACGAAAGGGGTAATTCATAACTGTGCCCCCCCCTCCGCCTGTCACCCAGAGATCTGAGTCGAGACCAACTGAGTCTGAGTGCAAAGGGGGTGGCGGAAATGAGCATTGCCTAATACATTCTTTTTTTTGCCCGTTCAGCAAGTTTTAAAAAAAATATTGAAGGTAACGTTCCATATGTATTTGTTATTTATGCATGTTGAACTTCTTCCGCACAGTACACAACCAACCGTACTAATTGGAAGTGCGCATATTCACTGACCTTATACGCAATTTTATGTATGGTTTCCTCCCACTTACCGTATGAGAGATACAGAGCGTGACAGATGGACACTTGCGAATTATATTAGATATATATAGGAAACCTGCCACTACTCTTGTCCGTGTCCCTTCTGGAATGCAGTTGGGTTTACACTTTTACGCCCACCATGGCCTTCCCGGCTCGTTCCGGCGACCATGGTGATACCATGGTGATACCATGGTGTGCGAAGTGGCGTCACGATCCCAGTTGCCAAGGTTCCATTTCTGTTCGTGGGCGCAAAACACAACTGGCATTGGGAAACTGAACGCTTAATGTAAATGTGTGTTTGCAAATGCCGTGAGATATAATTGTAAAGAACACTGGTTCTTTCAGTAAAGTCACGTAGAATGAGAATAAAACAATAAAACTAAATAAGACAATAACATTCTTACGACGTTTCGGCCACAACACAAGTAGCCTTCTTCAGGTGAAGGAACAGAACTGTCGGGACGACAGCGCTTCAATTGTGTTGTGGCCGAAACGTCGTGAGAATGTTATTGTCTTATTTTGTTTTATTGGTTTATTCCCATTCTACGTGACTTTACCGAAAGAACCAAGAAGATGAATCCTTGCAGTCACGAAAGCTTTAAATCGAAATTTAAACTCACCCCAAGCCAACGCGCAGCCAAACGGTTATTCAAAAGTAGGCCAAGGTCTCCGATTGGCGGAAAGAGGCCTCCACCACGGTGATTGGTCGGGAGGCAGGGCTTTTGAAGTGATTGGAGGAAAAAGGTTTGAACGAGAATAGGTGGGAAACAGACTGGAAAAACCCAGAGGCGACGGTTGGGAACCGTTGGAGGAGAAGGACAGGGATTGGCTAGGGGGAAAAAACAGTGAGGGAACATTCGAGAAAGGGGGCTCGAGAGATATAAAAGGGGAGAGCACGAGGGGAGGAGACGTTCGAGGGAAGGGACGAGCTTCAAGACCAAGCTCGTAATGATATCTTTTGAATAAATTGCATTAAAAAACATACCTAAATAAGACGTTAAATACATGAAAATTATCACAAGACATTTTTTCTGTATAATAAACATAAATAAAATAATTATTCAAGTATTAAATGGTAATTTATAAATTAACTTACCTTAAATTATCATGATGCTGCGCATGATCACTTTATCTCATACTTTATCTCTTCACCTTCTCGCATCACATTTTCTCTCTTAACTTTATCTCTAATCACTTTATCTCTAATCACTTTATCTCTCGTCACTTTATCTCTAATCACTTTATCTCTCTTAACTTTATCTCTAATCACTTTATCTCTAATCACTTTATCTCTCGTCACTTTATCTCTCTTAACTTTATCTCTCGTTACTTTATCTCTAATCACTTTATCTCTCAGCACTTTATCTCTAATCACTATCTCTCGTCACTTTATCTCTAATCACTTTATCTCTCGTCACTTTAGCTCTCAGCACTTTATCTCTCGTCACTTTATCTCTAATCACTCTATCCCTCGTCACTTTATATCTAATCACTTTATCTCTCTTAACTTTATCTCTAATCACTTTATCTCTAATCACTTTATCTCTCGTCACTTTATCTCTAATCACTTTATCTCTCTTAACTTTATCTCTAATCACTTTATCTCTCGTCACTTTAGCTCTCAGCACTTTATCTCTCTTAACTTTATCTCTAATCACTTTATCTCTCTTAACTTTATCTCTAATCACTTTATCTCTCGTCACTTTAGCTCTCAGCACTTTATCTCTCTTAACTTTATCTCTAATCAATTTATCTCTCTTAACTTTATCTCTAATCACTTTATCTCTCGTCACTTTAGCTCTCAGCACTTTATCTCTCAGCACTTTATCTCTAATCACTTTATCTCTCGTCACTTTATCTCTAATCACTTTATCTCTCGTCACTTTAGCTCTCAGCACTTTATCTCTCGTCACTTTATCTCTAATCACTCTATCTCTCGTCACTTTATCTCTAATCACTTTATCTCTCTTAACTTTATCTCTAATCACTTTATCTCTAATCACTTTATCTCTAATCACTTTATCTCTCGTCACTTTATCTCTAATCACTTTATCTCTCTTAACTTTATCTCTAATCACTTTATCTCTCGTCACTTTAGCTCTCAGCACTTTATCTCTCTTAACTTTATCTCTAATCACTTTATCTCTCTTAACTTTATCTCTAATCACTTTATCTCTCGTCACTTTAGCTCTCAGCACTTTATCTCTCAGCACTTTATCTCTCTTAACTTTATCTCAAATCACTTTATCTCTCTTAACTTTATCTCTAATCACTTTATCTCTCGTCACTTTAGCTCTCAGCACTTTATCTCTCGTCACTTTATCTCTAATCACTCTATCTCTCGTCACTGTATCTCTAATCACTTTATCTCTCGTCACTTTAGCTCTCAGCACTTTATCTCATCACTTTATCACTCTCTCTCATGGCAGTAGTCATGTAATGTTCCAGATGCGATTCGCGGACAGCCAAAATCGCAGATAGCAATTTCGCGACTAACGAGGGAATGCTGTATGGTCAAATAATCCCAATGACTGTTGCACATAAATCAGTTCCCAGTGGCTCTGAACTGACCAACCACGGCATTAGTTTGGCTTTGGCGAAAGAGCAGAAGGTGGAAACAATCACTTGGATACAAACAAAATGCCTTCTGGATTTAATAATAATTCATAATAAAAGGCCAAGTTGTGATTATGTGTGTCTGTTCAAAATGTTTAGCGTACTTCCCGACATGCAACAAACTTGAAATTTGCCATGTGGTTACTTTCCAGACTGTACACCATGCAAAAGTTATAAAATACACTTTTTTTGGGGGGGGGGAGCTCAATAATGCATATATTTTTTGCACGGCAAGTGAGCTGTGACGCATGTGTAGTGGGTTCCAGGACACGGAGACGGCAGAATAGAAGCAGCACTATTTATTTAAACCTTAAGAAGGGTTACACTAGAAGGGGTAGCGGCCCCTCCACCCGTATAACTCAGGTACACACCCCAGGCTCTCTAGCCTAAGCTCTAGGCTCCCAGTTCCTCCTGGTAGGGCTCTAAGAGAGGCTCTCAGATCCGGCCCTGGTTAGGCACAGATCTCGGCACCCCGCCGACCAGACCGGCCCTTAGAAGGACTCTGACTCTGGGGCTCTGGGGCCGCACCACTGGCTTGCTGTGCCGGCCCTGAAAAGGGCAGCGGTCACAGGAGTTCCAGGGTCTCACCTAGCTGGCCTTCTTTCTTCACTGGTTGCTTCAGCCTCGGGCCCCACACTCTGCCCCGAGCTCCCTGGCTCCCCGCACTTTATACCCACTGGAGCCTTAGCGGACGTTGTTGTAGCCACCAAGGTGTGGGTGAACCACACCTTCCCGTGCCATGTGTTTATTCCCCATAGCACCCCTACACATGTGGAAGCGTAACGCATTGTAGTGTAGAGGTTAGCGCGCTGCACTCCGAACCCGGCAACCCGAGTTCGATTCCCGCTCACGGCCACCACTGGTGACGATTATTTGAACCGGTCCTGGGCCTCCCCTCGGTCGACTCAGCCTCAAACGAGTAACTGCTGTGGTGTGTGAACATCGCCACTGTGGAGACAAAGGCGGCCGGGCGTGGTGGATCCAAGTTCCGGGTAGTACAGCTAGTGATGAATTATTTCAACTTGTAACACTGCTACCGCTGCCGAACATGTATTCGCTCGCTCGTACAGAGATCACGATTCGGGAGCGTGACGAGGAACCACAGAGGAGAGAGAAGGCAGCCATGCGAAGAGCCAACAATTGAACAAGCTCTGTAGTACTCTATATACTGTCTGTTCTCCTGTAGCGGTTCGCATGTTTTCGTAATATATTAGGGAACACATTTTTTATAACGCGGGTGCAAATTTTACACAACGCAATCGAGTGAATGGAAAATACGTCACGCGAGTGGGAATAAGCAGTTGTACAGCTGCCTCGGCATAGCGTCATATAAGGTGGGATGCTGCTGGATGTTTCTAGACACTACCCACGTGCATCAGTCTTTGTTCTGCTTGACCCTGCATAATATATTATTTATTATAACGCGGTTTGTCCAATACGCGGTGTTTCTTCAGGAACGCAACTACCGCGTTACATGAGAACAGACTGTGTTCAGGTCTTATTGTCAAATTAATGAGTGTTTTCCCCCACGCGTGCGACGAGGGAAACACTCTATCCCACACAGACCGAACAGGTGGAGCCACCATTTTAGCTGTAGCGCCTTCTCCTGGCGATCCAGGGCATTGCTCATTCTCGGGGACCACGGGAGGGAAGTTTTGCAACATTTGTGCGGTGATCCACAAACGCTCGCTGCGTCCACAGTGTTGGATTACGGGCCACGTGCAGAGCCACCACCGCCACCCGGATCTGACCATTGCTTTCGTACAACACGCAGACTCTGTCGGGTGAATCAAACCTCGTGAGTCAAACCTCATTCTGATTTCTGAACTGGAAGCAGAATTGGCCGAGATAAACTGGGATTTGGTGGGAGTCGGTGAGGTGAGCAGAGGAGAACACTTTTTATACCTGCGAGGGAAACAAAACAATTATGGAGTAGTGAGTTTCTTAGTCTCTACAGTGATGAGATGTTATCGCCCTCACCTGGTATGCAGGAGGTCGTAAGCTCCATCCCAACCCTGACGATGGCTGTTGTATATTTGTAGATCGAATGATCTCTCCCCATAACAGCGTGAATTTTTCTCGGGGTCTTCCGTTTTTTTCTGGCGTGCTGCTGGACATTCACCCACCTACATGTGCCGTGCTGGCCTTCGTAGGTGCTGCTGCTCGTCAACAGCACTTGCCCCCGACGGTCTGTTAAGGCTACATGGAGGACGTTTGTCTTTGTGTGCACATGACCTCAGGTCGTCTACGTGACCGCCACTCTGCCGTACGTGCTGCTGCTGGTGCTGCTAGTACGCGGAGTCACGCTGCCGGGCGCTCTGGACGGTTTAACTTTCTACCTCAAACCAGACTGGACTAAGCTCGCCACGCCGCAGGTAAGCGACTGGTATGTATGTGTGTGTGTATATATTGAACTGCTTTCGCACCATACGTAGTCAACCGTGCTAATCGGAGGTGCGGGGGAAGGACAACAAACTGAACGCAAATAGCAGTTTAAAAGCAATGACTTTTCAATTTAGATGTAAAAGTGTATAGCTCCAGTGGCTTCCTAATATCGGAAGGAAGAGCGTTCCAGACAGCTGTAGAAGCATATCTGAACGCGTGCAATGTGGTGACCATCTTCATCCCATAAGCTCCCGGCTCTCGCATCAACTGCGTTGCGACGTCATTTTATGTCTGTTGAAGGTGAACGATACGGCAATCTATTCCTCTCGAGGAGCTCTTTTGTGGCAAGGTGACAACCTGGTGACAACCTGGCACTGGGTTTTAAATGGAAGGGACAACTGAAAAAGGAAAGATGGGAAATGTATAGCAGCCAAATACTCTAAACGCATGTTGTTTCTAAATGTGGAGGGAAAAACCTGAGGACCTGGAGACAATTCCACGCGACCAAAGGGAGAGAGACACGCAAACTCCAAATATACAATCATCAGGATTCGGATCGAACCCACGACCTCCTGTAAACTAGGAGAGGTAGTCAACAACTCACCATTGTGGTGTTCCCATTGATACACCGTCACACGGTTAAGTACTGTATCTCGGTCAATGTGTTCAGAGTCTGATGCATTGCTTAAGGACAAAGGCCCACTTGAATGAAACAGGTGTGACACCTTTAGACTAAATTACTGAATAGATCTATTCACACACTGTGAACGTGTGTGCCGCTGTGCTACAGGTGTGGGTGCAGGCCAGCACGCAGGTGTTCTACTGCTATGGCGTGGGTCTTGGGGTGCTGCCCGCTCTCGGGAGCTACAACAAATTTCACAACAACTGCTACCGGTGAGGCTGCGCGATGCGTGGAGCCTGAGACAGGTCTCCTACTATCAGGCAATAGTGCCCCGACAGAGGGATTGAGGGTCCACAGGACCCTAACCCAGTGCTGCAGGCTTAGCGTGCGAACACAGTCATTACGATTCCCCCAACAGACACCTAACAGAGAATGGTTTGATGACGGCATAAGAGAATGGCGCCAGAAAGATGTGCACTACTTGAGCATATCGGCACAACACAGTGGAAACAAATGACGAAATGTGCAGTGGGCACCTACGGGCCATCTGCCCACGGACCGTGATGACGACGATGATGAAGAGACATCCACGGGGCACAAACACGGTCCCTAAAGAAAGTGTCGTTCGATGGATCCACTGCACGAATGGGGGGTTTGGTAGGGGCATGAATGTCAGTGTCGGAGCCTGAATCGCCTGACTCATCGACGGGGCCTGCGGCGCTGCATTTGCAAGGCCTCGACAGCATCTGACGGCGACCATCGTGTGCGTGCGAGTGTTTTCCCGGCGGTGGCTTCAGGGACAGCATCGTGCTGACGCTCATCAACAGCGCCACGAGCCTCTTCTCCGGCTTCGTCGTGTTCTCCTTCCTGGGCTTCATGGCGCAGGAGCAAGGCGTTGACATTTCCAGCGTTGCCGAAGCAGGTGCGGCCTGGTCATCCCCCAGTGACCTTGAAGAGAGATCCAATTTCCTCGACACTACCTTACAAATTGGCCACCTTAATGCAGATCCTCATCCGAGTCCATTCTTTTGAGTTATTGCCTGGTTAGCGGGATACCTTTAACTGGCAGCCCATGGGCCCCTATGTGGCCTTGGAGTGGCCCACCGAGTGATTTATCTTGCAGATACATTAATGCAGATTACTGAGAGGGAAAAGAAATTGGAGACAGAGATGAGATGACTATAGACAAGAAATATAGATTAGTGGGATGAAACACATTCCTGCGGAGGGAGCTGGTATGGGACGTTGGGTTGCTCGGTCAATGGCCAGGGTCAACGGCGGCACCACGTGGTGTATTCCGCAAATATGCCCGACTGTGAGGGCGGGCACAAGCTGGCGTGAGTAGGTTAAACGTTGAGTTTTATAAGGGCACCACGGGGTGACCAGCCCCTCCCCACCCAGCCCCACCCCTCCGACCCCCCACCCAGCCCCACCCTCCCCACCCAGCCCCTCCCCACCCTCCCCACCCAGCTCCACCCTCTCCACTCAGCCCCTCCCCACCCTCCCCTCCCCACCCAGCCCCTCCCTCTCCACCCAGCCCCTCCCCACCCTCCCCTCTCCACCCAGCCCCACCCATCCCATTTTTGGATGCACGACGGACGGACGGACACAATATGCCCCTGTGGGCTGGTGTAACCAGGAGGTTCCTACCAGTAATATATGTAACATTGATAATAGAGCTGTAGACAAGACATGAATAGTGAGATGAACATGATATAAACAAGATATGACAGTTTTAAAGCTTTCGTGACTGCAAGGATTAATCTTCTTTGGTTCTTTCGGTAAAGTTACGTAGAATGAGAATAAAATAACACAATAAAATTCTCACGACGTTTCGGCCACAACACAAGTGGCCTTCGACAGGTTTGTTCCTTTCACCTGAAGAAGGCCACGTGTGAGGTGGCCGAAACGTCGTGAGAATTTTATTTGTTTTATTTTATTATTTTTTCTCATTCTACGTGACTTTACCGAAAGAACCAAAGAAGAAGATATGACAGACCTGGAGGTAAGAGGTACAGATTGGTTGTCACAAGTACGGGCTATATGTCATTAAAATGTCTCTTTTTACACGTAACCCTATGACGTCACGTGACCTACCATCACATGCAAATTTTATTATGTAGCCCACAAGAAAATATTGTGAAAGAACCAGGGTCGGGGCAATTCATTCGAGCCTTTTCTATCAACCGATTACACGGAGATCTCCTTCACAGCCACGTGTGTAATTGTATCGCGTGGGCCATGGGGGGCCTGTCTGCGCAGGGCCCGGGCTGGTGTTTGTGGTTTACCCGCGTGCCATATCGCTCCTGCCCGTGCCCGCTGTCTGGGCTGCTTTGCTCTTCATCATGCTCATCCTGCTCGGCGTGGACAGTGAAGTGAGTTTCTCTGCCCAAGGTGTCCCTTACACAAACGACGCGTTACCACTGGCTGTAGTAATAATAATAGACAACACAATGGATAACGTGGGCATATATATCGTGAATTGGACACAATTGTTCGATCGAGAACTTGGGAGGCGTGGAGCCAGAGCTCAAAGTCCCTCGTATGCCAGCATGAACAGGTGTGGGCCTGAACAGGTGAGGCCCTGAACATGTGAGAGCCTGACCAAGTTATAGTCTGGACAGTTGAGACCCTGAACAGGTGAGAGCCTGAACCAGGTGAGAGTCTTGAACTGCTGTTTGAAGTTGGGTGGTGAGATGTTAAATGTATTGGGATCCAGTGCTGTATCATCATGACAGTGGTGATATGTTCCCTATGTTTACTGTTAGAAGCGAGATGTTCTGCTGAATTGTATGTTACTGCTAAATTATGAACTGCATCGTTCCATGTTTACTGACATTTAATCTGTCCCTCATCCCACTATGCTTCAGTTTGCTGGGATGGAGGGGTTCGTGACAGGGGTCATGGACATCTTCCCGTCCCAGCTGAGCGGCAAGATGCGAAGGGAAGTCTTCACGGGCCTCTGTTGCCTTGTCAGCTTCCTTCTCTCCATTACCATGGTGACGCAGGTATATTGGCCGCCATTTTTTATGGCCTGGAGTTGGGCCAGCAAATAACACTCTTTGACTTTTAATTGAAGATACAAAAATTGAGGAAGTAATTTATTTTCCAGAAATGTGTTAGTGGCAACATTTTATTTGGCCTGTAGAAACAAACATTGCCACCAAAAGGTTATTTGCAATAAATAAATAAAGATTCAGAGTAATTGATCAATAAAGAAAGCTAATAAAATAGGCAACGCAATCAAATATATTTTAGCATTCTACACCAAAATATTTGATCGTTCCAGCATCCCCTGATTACACTTGGGATAGAGTAACAGAGGCAGAGACCTCGTAAATAAAGAACGTACAACCAACGTTGACACGTTGGGGCAACGTTGGTCCAAGGTTTCCGACCACATACTGTTGGCCCAATGTTGGATGTTTACTAAGGAGCATAGCAACCAAACGCCCTTGTGTCTCGTGATGTTAAAGACTCTAGGAACCACCCAAAGTTCAATATTCACTGATCCCAACGTGCAACTTAAGAGCAAATGGTGTCACAAGCGATCCTGTGAGTGAGGGCTCAAGACTCTGAATGGCCTTATAAGTATTTCACAGGAAGCCACTGTATTGATGCAAAAACTGGAATACTGTGTTGTCCATGATGTGTGTGTATGTGAGTAAGCACTCTACCCAGTAAACATGGGTGACGCGGTGGCGAGATGTTAACTACCTTGCCTGGTATACAGGAGGTCGTGGGTTTGATCCCGGCCCTAAAACTGTATATTTGGAGTTTACATGTTCTCTCTCCCGGTGGTCGCATGGATTTTTCTCTGGGTCCTCCGGTTTTTCCCTCCGCATTTAGAATCAACATGCATTTATAGTATTTGGCTGATATAGATTTCCTTGTGATTATAAGCCACTTCGTTGAGCTATCATTTGTGACCAGGTCGCTTCTGAAAAAGAGCTATACAGCTCAGTGGGGTCTTACCTGGCAAAATAAAAGATAATTTAAAAGTTTATTTTAGTTTACATGGAATGTTGAGCAATGGCGGAGCCAGGATTTTCAGGTAGGGGGGCAACCCCTCCAGCAATGAAAAATGATAGAGGAGTTGTTAGTAAGTAAGGACTTGTCCCTTGCTTTTTATTTGACACGTGTGCGGCGATGGCGCAGCCATCGATCGAGGGTCGAATTGGAACCGCGTTGTGTGATCGGCATCGCGCTCGCTGAAGCTGTTTGCCTTCAGGGAAGTCGTGTACTGTATACGCAACTGCGCACAATTCTGAGTCACTTATAACTGATTTAACGTTACTTATTGCCAATTATTGACTCAGAGTATTGTCCTGTCATCTCATAGAGTCCCTGGCACGTAATAACAATATGCTACACAGTGGCAGTGGGGGTCGCAAAATGCCGATTTATTACGAATATACCCCAATGATCCGATCGAAATTAGGGATTTCGATCGGATCGTTGGGGGGGGCACGTGCCACCCACCCCCTCCACTGGCTCCGCCAGTGATGTTGAGCCAACGTTGGTTCAACATTTCCAACTATATGCTAACATTGGGTCAATGTTGCACGCTGTTGACTGGGCAGCTGCAGCATTCTTAACCATTTGGAGCTGCCTCATCTGTCGAATCGGAAAGGCCAATAAACAAAGCATTACAGTAATCGAACCAATAACTAACTAATTTATGAACCAACATCTCAACATCTTTAGACAATCGGAAAGGCCAATAAACAAAGCATTACAGTAATCGAACCAATAACTAACTAATTTATTAACCAACATCTCAACATCTTTAGACAATCGTAAAGGCGAATAAATAAAGCATTACAGTAATCGAACTAATAACTAGCTACATTATGTACCAACATCTTACAACTTTTAAGTGAACTTTCTGTACTCTGGCCCCAGATCTGTGCTTGGATACCCACATGTTATAAAAGCGTGGTTGCACCTGATAACAGAGCAGTTATACCTTAGAACAGAGATAATGTGGGTATAAAACATTCTATTAAGATTAGTTGTAAGTCTGGCAGGGAAAAAATCCATAAGAGAAAACATATTGTAAGTCAATGCAAATAGTGTAGTCATAGCGAGATCATAACTCTCAGTTTCGTAAAAGCTGTTGCTAGGAATTATGCCATTACTTCCACTAAACCAGCTAAATGATCTTCCAAGGAAACATTAAGTAAGCTAATTAACATGGCCAACGTGACATCATCACTTGGTGTATTTCACCCAGTCTGTGGTTAAGATATGATCATTTTGTTATTATTAATGATGATGTTCATTATTGAACGAATTATCTGCTGCTGCTGCTGCTGCGTTGGCAGTGGTACAGAAGCACAAGCATATGGAAAAAACTCGACACATGGATCACTAACAGTGTGGCCTTACAAGGACAAAAAATATAAAATGGGTGGCATGTCTGCCAATGGCCCCTTCTCATCAAATCTGTTAATGATCGGAAAAACCCACCGTAACAGAATCGTAGTGTGTGTTGGCTTGTTAAACCAAAAATGTGCAAAAGCATACGCAAAATATAACCATCAGCATTTCTCGAGGACCATAATGCATTTATTTAGGAATTGTTAACGGGTTGTTTTTCTTGCATGTGCACACAGGCTGTGTGCTTTCTATGCAATTTTGTGTCTCGTTTGAAACCAATGGACATGGATAGAGGAGCCTGAGAGATAGGGTGGATAACAAGAGTTGGATACTGCATTTTGCACCATGGGGCCTGATAAGAATTACATTTAAAAAAATTGTAATGACGATGTTTTTAACTTGGCACATATATTATAATTACTTATTAGTAGCTATTGAGTAGTAGACAAACCCTTCAGTAATAAAATGCGTAATAACGAATGTGTTGAGGTTTTTTTGGAGTAACAACGGCACCTGAATGATAATCCAATGTTATGTGCTAAAAGTAATCAGAGAGAATGCAGACACTGAAGATAATTGGACGGAGGATTAAACCCCTGTGGAACTCCACACTTCACTTCAAGCAACACGAAGATAGACAATTGTGCAATACTGTACTTTATTTGCAGCCTCGTACAATTATACTGCACCTTGCTGATGAGACCTGATTAAGTTAAAACTATGAATGTACTCGCTTCGCCTGATCAGTAAATTATCTCAGGTAACGTTCATGTAGAACAGCGGTGGCCAACTGGCGTCTTCAGACCCGCATGCAGCTCTTTAATCCACCACGTACGGCTCTTTAATCCAACACGTACATTTCTTTAGTCCACCACGTGCTCTTCTTTAATCCACCACGTGATCGTCTTTAATCCACCACGTGTGGCTCTTTAATCCACCACGTGCAGCTCTTTAATCCATCATGTGCGGTAATCCACCACGTGTGGCTCTTTAATCCGCCACGCATGGCTCTTTAATCCATCACGTGTGGCTCTTTAATCCATCACGTGTGGCTCAGTAATCCACGTGTGGCTCAGTAATCCATCACGTGTGGCTCTTTAATCCACCACGCGTGGCTCTTTAATCCATCACGTGTGGTTCTTTAATCCATCACGTGTAGCTCTTTAATCCACCACGTGTGGCTCTTTAATCCATCACGTGTGGCTCTTTAATCCACCACACGTGGCTCTTTAATCCACCACGTGCGGCTCTTTAATCCACCACACGTGGCTCTTTAATCCACCACGTGTGGCGCTTTAATCCACCACGTGCGGCTCTTTAATCCACCACGTGCGGCTCTTTAATCCATCACGTGTGGCTCTTTAATCCACCGCGTGTGGCTCTTTAAGCCATCATGTGCGGTAATCCACTGCGTGTGGCTCTTTAATCCATCACGCGTGTGACTGTGTGGCTCTTTAATCCATCACACGGGGCTCTTTCATTTAATATACCACGAGCGGCTCTATCGAAGAGGCATGACATAGAACGCGCTATCACAGTGGCAAAGAATAATGAATGTCTCCTATGGTGTGCCGAAAACTGTTAATATATACACACACTTGTAACAACACATTCATCCCCATAATACATAATACGTATTTTTTATTAATCGCTCGTCCATTTCACTTACCACAGCTTAACCACTCATATATTTGGATGCCTCTCGACGAGGCGAACAGTACGAATACCACGTTTATGGGTCTGCGACGTTTCCTTCCAGAGTTATTGCCAAAAAACCACAAACATCCCAGAATCCTCTCGGTTTGGGGTCAAAATGTTATCGCTTATTAAATCCCATAAGAAACATCGCATCGAATCAATGCGATTGAATGCTCCCCGCCTGGACGAGCAGAATTGAACGGTGCAACTGGTTTTGCTGTGCTGTGTTAAATCAGATATTTGCATGATTGCTTTTGTTTTATTTTGTGAATAGCAAAAAACATTCATCCCCATAATACATATTGTTTTATTGGTCGCTCGTCCTTTTTCACTTCCCACAGCTTAACCACTCATATATTTGGATGCCCATCGACGAGGCGAGCAGTACGAGTACCACCTTGATGGGTCTGCGACGTTTCCTTCCAGAGTTATTGCCAAAAAAACACAAACATCCCAGAATCCTCACGGTTTGGGGTCTAAATGTTGTCGCTTATTAAATCCCATAAGAAACGTCGCATCAAATAAATGTGATTGAATTCTCCCCGCCTGGACGAGCGGAATTGTATGGTGCAGAACTCATGGGTACGTTTTGGCTCTGTGTCCGTTACAGGTTGGCCACCCCTGATCTAGAAGAATGCCTATCGACTGACAGATTGAGTTTCATCTCCTTTCTGAAGTTAACGAACTCAGCCCTCCGCGTGACTCTGACGGCAATTGCTGCTTGTGTTGCAGGGCGGCGTGTACGTGTTCCAGCTGTTTGACAACTACGCGTCCAGCGGCATCTCCATGCTGTGGCTCGTGGGCTGGGAGTGCATCGCTGTGGCTTGGGTTTACGGTAGAACAGGCTCGCTCGGGCAACCCACTCAATCGTCCACTCCTCACTCACCTGTTCACGCACAGCTCTCAATTATTATCACCGTCGTTGTGGAGAACATCAATAACAAAACGGATGAGCGGACTATATGCCTCCCTCTCATATCTGACTCTCCACGTAAATAATGAAAGAGCATTTCTTACGCAACCCATCGACCGCACGGCCTTCCTTGCAGGTGCATAAGTTCAGCGGCATTCATTCAAGACAAACAAACTCTGGACTCTGCTGCCGAGACATCACATGTCGGAACATCGCTGCAGGCGTGATGCCGTTTCACAATAAAATAACGCGATCTAACCCAAAAACCTTTATTATGAATAATATTGGTCGCGAAAGCCTATGTGTTAAAGTGATGCCGTTTGCTGTCGCTGCTGCCCTCGAGTGCAGGAGCCAATCGGTTCATGCAGGACCTGACGGCGATGCTCGGGTTCCGTCCGCACGCATGGGTGCGGTGGTGCTGGAGCGTGGTCAGCCCCGCCGTGTGCTTGGTACGCACCACAGCGGCCGCCCTCCACCGTCAACACACGGCGACGTCGCCCGTGATAAAAACAAAGTGCCAGGCTATAGGTGTCATTCGTGGATTTTTCTGTGGGTCCTTCGGGTTTCCCCACCCCCCCACACATTTAGAATCAACATCACGCGTTTAGAGTATTTGGCTGTTATAAATTTACACGTGATAAGCCCACTTCGTTGAGCTATCATTTGTGGTCAGGTCGCTTCTAAAAACGAGCTACACAGCTCAGTGGGCCTTACCTCGTAAAATAACAATCGTTTAGTTACTCTTTGGTTCTTTCGGTAAAGTCACGTAGGTATAAAATAAAATAAATCACGACGTTTCGGGCACAGAAAAGCTTTTCCCACCTGATGACGGACGCTCATGTTGCGCCCGAAACGTCGTGATTTATTTTATTTTTCTACCTACGTGACTTTACCGAAAGAACCAAAGAGTATGGATTCCTGCAGTTACGAAAGCTTCAAATCAAGATTGAATCGTTTAGTTTTGTAAATAGTTTAGGTGCATAACCGCTGTGTAGGCTATGAATACAGATCATGCATAGCAGAGCTTCTGAATGATATCACTAACTTACTCTCACATGCCACACTGCCTCCCCAATACAATATTGTTCTGCTGTATCAGCTGGCAGATGGAAGCTCCTGCTCCTCCGCCTCGTCTTGTTGCCGGAGGATGGGTTGTGGCTATGACACCACAACCGCTGCGTTGTTGCGTGTGTATGCCGGGCATGCTGTTGGCCACCCACCCCCTCTGTGTGCTGTGCCGGCCTTCATAGATGCTAAAGTCTCGTATAGGGGAGCGGTAGTGTAGTGGTCAGCGCTTTGCGTCATGAACCCGGCGACCCAAGTTCGATTCACGCTCATGGACAACAGTGACGATTATCTGAACCGGTCCTGGGCCTCCCTTGGGTTGAATTAACCTCAAATGAGTTCCTGATGCGGTGTGTAGTGAACATCGCCACTGGGGAGTCAAAGGTGGCATGGCATGGAGCTGGCCACCCACCCCCCTCGTGTACCATACCGGCCTTCATAGGTGTTCACTAACAGCACTTGCCCCAACATCATTTAAAGGCTATACGGGGGACTTTTGTCTTTGTGCTTAGGGTATCTTCTTGTTCCATCTGATGCACTACGAGCGGCTCACGTACAACGACCGCTACGTGTACCCACGCTGGGCCGAGGCTCTGGGCTGGCTGATGGCACTCTCCTCCATGCTGTGCATCCCGGCCGTGGCGTTCTTCAAACTCCTCAGGGCCAGGGGCAGCCTCGCACAGGTGAGAGGCAGCTGTGGGGCTCAGGGTGGAGAACCGCCTGTCGTCTATTCACAAAATTAACAAACCCAAATGAAAACTCTTTGACTGCGCGGAAAAGAAGTTTTTTTTTTAAACAAGCTTTTATGAAAAGTACCTTACTGGTAATGGCAGAACTCCACCACGACTCCATGAAATGGCCCTGAAGCTTGCCACAACGTAAGGGGACCGTGGTGATTTACAGCCAACGTCAGTTGAGCGTGGACAATTAGACCCAAGTCGAAACATATAACATAAAAAAAGATTGTTTAAAAATATATTTTTTTATTTTTAATGATATAATATAGTATTGTCATCAGTATGACATAAGTATACCAAATTTGCAGGCGATGCCACATTGGGAAGTGGGTTAACATTGAGTTACAAGATTTGAAGATACGACAACAACAGAGTGAGTTAAATGAAAACGTGTAAAAAATGAAATGATTTACTTCATCAGCTTATCAGGCATCCTAGGCCAATATTATTCAGCAACGTTTTGTTGTAAGGGGGAAATTCTGGGCTTGCTTTAACCTGCAGGATTACAGGTATGCACTACTAAGACAAGCCACGAATTACTAAGCTTTGTATTGTTTTGTTACTTACGAACGTTGTGTGTGTCTCTGTTCATGTGCCGTGTATTAATGTGTTGTATTAACAGGCCACGTTTTTAAAACAAAAATGAACGGACACAACACGTGTGAAGTTGCTCCGATAATAATGTTGCCCGTATTAATCAAGCCGCGTGTGTTTCTGTGTCTGCGTGGTTGTGTGCACCACAGCGCTGGAGCCACCTAACGTCGCCCCAGTCGGCAGAGTTGCCCATCCACTTCCATCAGAGCCCACCCTCTGAGCTGCCTCTGTTACCCTTGGCTAAAGCCTGAAGGACATACTGCAGTTAATACCCCGATTTACATCTCCCCAATTTTTTTATTACACGCTTTTTATTAACTCACTCTGTCTGTTGTATCCTCAAATATTTGTAACTAAATTTTGTACCCACTTCCCAATGTGGTATCGACTGCAAACTTGGTATAGTTATGTTATACTGATGACAATACTATATTCGATCATTAAAAAAATGTTTAAACATTATTTTTTTATGTTATGTTTCGGCTTGGGTCTAATTGTCCACGCTCAACTGACGTTGGCTGTAAATGGCCACGGCCCCCCTTACGTTACGGCAAGCTTCGGGCCCACTTCCTGGAGTCGTGGAGTTCTTCCATTACTAGTACGGTACATTTAATTAAAGCGTGTTTTTAAAAAAAAGTTTTTAAAAATATTACTTATTGTATGTCGTTTAGCGAAATCTTGTCATCACTCTCTTGTACGCATATATATTAAACTTCTTTCGCACCGTACGTATCCAACCGTGCTAATCGGAGGTGCGGGGGAAGGACAACCAACTAAACCCAAAAAAAACTGTTCCAAATAAATGAGTTTTCAATCTAGATGATGATTTAAAAGTGCCCAGCTCCAGTGGCTTCCGAATATCGGAAGGAAGAGCGTTCCACAGAAGCACATTTGAAAGCCCGCGATGATGCGGTGACCGTCTTTGTACGATGGCCAGCCACAAGCCTCTGCTGCGATGTTGACCGGAGTTCGCGTGATGGTTTATTCTTCCTTGACAAGATCAGCAAGGTATTGTGGTTCATTTGAACCTTATGGCGGGACCCCGGGGTCCCATAAGCCCCCGGCTCTCGCATCAACTGCGTTGCGACGTCATTTTATGTCTGTTGAAGGCGAATGACACGGCGATCTATTCCTCGAGACCAGCTCTACACGATGCGCTTATCAAAGTTGCAAAGTTTTGTGTCTTCTGCACATTCGTCCTCGCTGCTGCGCTTGCACGACACGACAACAGAACGATCTGCGCCAGGTGGGTCGCGGCGTTTATGTGCGCGGTGGGATGGAGTTGCCAATTTTTTTTTACATTTATTACGATTTTGACTTCCGTTTATTCGGGACCCCGGGGTCCCCGCCATGAGGTTCATTTGTCGCAAATTATTAATACCATTATCTAATTTGCGTCGCCTCAACCCATACATATGTCGCTGACAGCATCATCCAGGCTTTCTCATATATCCGTCGCCTCTCGGTCTTCGTCTCCACCGACCCTGTAAATAATTTCGATGTACGTCGTTTCGATATTCGTCCTCGCACCTTTCAGGAACGCATCCCCGATGTAAATCGAGGCATTACTGTTGTACTAGGATACTCGGGGCCAATGTCAGGGCAATTGCCCAGAGTGATCTTCACCGACATGTGAACGATGTGCGACTTTGGCAATTTGTACCATTGTAGAATACAATGACATCGTTCTAAAGCTATCAAACATCGCCGTTTGGCCGGGACAGTTTCAGAAAGGCGTTTCCCAGATTATCGAAGCATTTGTGAAAATCGGTAATTTTTGGACCTTTTTAAAAAAATGTCGGGCCTCATGCTCGACCAGTGATACAGGCTGTGACGAAGCATGTGTAATGTTGGAGGTAAAATTATAAGAGATAATTCTCGCTGCTGGGCTGGAAAATGTTATTGTTGACGAGTGCCATTACCTTTAGATGCCCTCCCCACCTCCCCCAAATTGGGGAATTGATTGCAAGTTGTAAATTCAACTCATCCAGATAAACAACAAAGGCGCGAGGCCATCACAAACAGGAGGGGAGGTCGGGAGGCATCGCCAAGTTCATAGAGGGCGTGGTGAAAAGCGCTTTCAATGGGAGACCCGGTGTTACACATCATAGTTTGCATTATGTATCAGTTTGGATCGCACGTGTGTGTACGGTGTATATGATTTTCTATTCATTTTCACTTTTTTTCGTATAGGATTCGCAGAAAAAAACAACGTTCTTCACAATACTTTTAAATATAGCAAATGAACGCTTGTGAGAATATGAGTGACTAGCTGACTAACAGTGGCTGTCCTCTGCCACCCCCCCCAAGGAGGTACTAAGCACAGGTGCAGGTTTAACACTGTCCCAAAAGACGTCTCCATTCGGGGCCACGGCGATGCCAGGATTCCAATTCACACTCATGAACTTGGGTGCCTTGTATTTTCTCACTCAAACAATTATGTAGCTCACGACGGAAGACGCACCCACTGGTTTTATTTTCAACCCCGGCGGTGATTGTGCACGTTGGGTCACGTCTTCAGAAGAGTTACTGTCATGGATCAACCCTCTCCACTGATAACACTTGTATTGTTCCTGGGTTTCTTTTCCACATGTCAGTACGTACAGCATTGTGGTATGACAAGCATTATGGAGCTTGCTGAGATTCCGGTTGTTGAACTAGGCCTCGGCAAGGTAAGGTAATTTACCCTTTTTACCGGGTAAAAGGGTAAAGGTAAAGGTGTTGACATGCCAAGGGGTAAGGTAAAGGGTAGGGTAAGGTAGCGCGGAAGAATTACTCGGTAGGGTAAAGGTAGCGCGGAAGTATTACCCGGTAAATACCTTGTTTACCGTAAACACCTTGTTTACCGTAAATTCCTTGTTTACCACTCGCTAAAAGCTCCGTGGCGCAGTCCGTGGCCTCCATTTAAAATTGGAATCATCGAGAGTGTTCTATATGAATAAAGCACTCTAGCTAGCATTTACCTGTTATAAACCTTTTTCATGTGTAGTAGTGCCCCCGTAATTACCCTGTAATCGGGTAATTTGTATGGGGTAAGGGTAAAAGGTAGGGTAAAGGTAGGCTCGTTGTGTTTTCCTTTACTTGCCGAGGCCTATGCTGAAGGTCGCACTCATTACACACCAAATGTCTTGCCATAAATTAACCACAATACCTTGCTGATCTCGTCAAGGAGCATAAACCACCACGCAAACTCCGGTCATCCTCGCAGCAGCGGCTTTTGACTGGCCATCGAACAAAGACGGTGGTCACCGCATCGCGTGGCTTTCAGATGCGCCTCTGCGGCCGACTGGAACGCCCTTCGTTCCGATATTAGGAAGCCACTGGAGCTATGCACTTTTAAACCTAGATTGAAAACTAATTTCTTTAGAACTTCTTTTTGTGTTTAGTTTGTTGTGTTTCCCTCGCAGCTGCGATGGCCACGTACACGCATTATGACGCAAAACTCTTGTTAAATGGGAAATACTTTTTGTGTTTCTGAGACAGGAAAACAAATCTTTACATATCCACAATCACTCGTGCGATAGAACAGATGCCAGTTAGGTTTCCTTGAGCTTTGCGTTTGATATGATTTTGTGTGGCTAGGCAAGTGGCCACTACAACAGAAAGTTACTCAATAAAGACATTTTGCATGAGACAACATACGACTGAAATTGCCTCTGTACGATATTACCCAATGCCAGCGTTGATACATCCACGAGTCTGTCTCCATCAAGGTGGACAATCAAGCGTGTCATTACATCTGCACATTAAAAAACTCGGATATGGCTATGTGTGTGTACATGCGTGTTATGCTTATTTGAAGGTGCTGGTCCATTGCATAGTGAACTTGTGTATAAACTTGTGTATAAACTCGTGTATAAACTGCAAATGGTCACTAATTGTTACCAGATGTGGAAAATGGAGTTCATGTGTTAATGCTGTGGGCAGACAAACGTATAATTTAAAAACGAAACACTTAAATTATTGGAGGAACTATACGACTACACAAAGACGAACATCAATGTTAAATTATACATTGACATATACGACTACACAAAGACGAACATCAATGCTAAATTATACATTGACGCTCAATCCAGTTTACAAAGCATCGCCAAGGTTACATTTTCATGGAATATATTCCGGAACTCAGGTCCACAACAGGTCTGCCTGATATCAAGCCATGGATAAAAATAATTTAATCTTGAAAACCTGAACCTTAAAAACGAACTTATATAAACATTCTTAGCATATGATTTAATAACATACAGTGAGGGAAAAAGTATTTGATCCCTTGCTGATTTTGTACGTTTGCCCACTGACAAAGAAATGATCAGTCTATAATTTTAATGGTAGGTTTATTTGAACAGTGAGAGACAGAATAACAACAAAAAAAATCCAGAAAAACGCATGTCAAAAATGTTATAAATTGATTTGCATTTTAATGAGGGAAATAAGTATTTGACCCCCTCTCAATCAGAAAGATGTCTGGCTCCCAGGTGTCTTTTATACAGGTAACGAGCTGAGATTAGGAGCACACTCTTAAAGGGAGTGCTCCTAATCTCAGCTTGTTACCTATATAAAAGACACCTGTCCACAGAAGCAATCAATCAATCAGATTCCTTGCATATATGTTGATATACATGAAACGAATTAAAAAAAATATGTAAATGTAAAAATTAAGTACTTTATGTACGATAAATAAGGGGCATCGTGTGGTGTATGTATGCTGAACTTTTTTCGCACTGTACGTAGCCAACCGTGCTAATCGGAGGTGCGGTGGAAGGACAACAAACGAAACACAAAAATCAGTTCTAAAGAATGAGTTTTTCAATTTAGATTTAAAAGCGCGTGGCTCCTGTGGCTTCCTCATAATTCGGCAGATGATGAGGGTAGGAGACATTACAGGTAAAGGTGGGAGGGAAGGTGAGGGTAGGGGGCTGTGGGGTGGTGACGGACAGAGCTGAGCCAGGGAGGAAAAAGTTGACAGGTGATGGAGGCAGGCAAGGTGAGTAAGGGGGAAGCAGGTGAGGGAGGGAGGGAAATACTTGAAGAAAAATGAAGTTGACAGTAAGATAGGTGGCCACGAATTTTGGCAATTAATATGAATCAAAAATCAATAATGGTATGAAGGGCCGTTGCCCGAAACGTAATCTATGATATATATTTTTCTATTTAAAGCCACAGTGTGATGGACACAATTTGTAAAAAAAATTGTTACATGTGCTTGTGTATTACTCCCAACATTTAACAATTAAAAATAACCCCCCAACTCTGGCAAACACGAGTGCATGAGTGTGAGATGCGCGCTGCGAACCCGGCGAGGCTCACGGCCAACAGCAAGTGACGTACAATCCGAACGAGGTCCTGGGCCTCCCCTAGGT